TTGAAGAAATGTCACTATCATTGTTCGAGTTTCCACTAACGTCTATATTCGTAATGAAAAGGGTGAAGATAATGAACAGTGATCGATATTGAAAAAAATGTCTACAAACAATACAAAACTGTGAACAGGGCATAAAAACTTGAACCCCCCGAAATTTGCAGAGATAAATATTTTTGTGTTTATTGTTGGCCAGAGAAATGAATTATTATGATGGTATATATCGATTTTTTTCAGCATTTTTTAAAATTATTTTTTTAATGATTTAAGTAGGGATAATAGAGAGTCTTACCTGAATGCTAAATATATACTTTATTTCAAAATTAATAAATCCCTATTCTAGAAATTATTTACCTTGCCTCTCAAAGCATGCATCCCCAATAGCATAGTGATTAACGTATTGCCTCTCACGCGGGCGAGTCGGGTTCAATCTCAAGAAAATTTGAAAAAAAAAATGATCAATTTTCTTTATCTTAAATTTACGATTCTTTCTTTAAAGTGCTGTGTGGTATTTATTGCTGTTCGAATTTTGGATATTTTCACACTTTCTAAATTTTATCATATTTTTATACGAAGGAGTTAAAAGGATTGCACAAAGGTACATGTAACACATGTTATGTTATGAGTAAGGAATGAATTCTCCTATGACATCTGATGACGGAGAAGGGACGACAGACCTTATTGTTGTCATGGCAACGAGTTTCTAGTATATACTTATTTTTGTTTACTTTATTTACAGTATCTTTTTTCTGTGTATTTATTTTTTCACACATTGCCAGCAAATTTTTGGTTGTGTTATACATAAAACATCATTTTTGTTGATCTGAAAAAGAACATACGGTTTTTGTGTTCTCCAAGTATGGGTGCGTTTAAATTCAGTGATTTTTTTAAAACACCAAAGGTGCTCATGTGATATTCCTTAGGTCATTATTTAAGTAAAGAGCATACATAAATTTGAAGTGTTGCTAATACATGTAGAGTAATTACATATGTACAGTACTGTAACACTGTATAGTGTGAACTGTTTGTTCAAAATTCAACTGATGTTCAACTAACATGATTGTCATTCAACCATTAAAACAACTCAATACTTCAACTGATTTTAACCTGACATTGAATACAACTGATTTATTCCGGCTTCAATCTATAAGAAAGGGAACATATTGGATTTATTTTTCATGACAATTTGTCTTCCTTGCCATTCTCTCCCTATACATGAATGATTTCTTAATTTTCTTGAATAGATATGAAATTTTTCATTTTATTCAGGGTAGAAAGACTTGTACCCAAAAGCTAAAATTTTAATTTGGTCTAATGTAAGCCAAAAAACTTTTGAGTTTGATTGACAAATCTAGTAAGCATCCTCTTTTTATATTTATTGTGTATATTTGGGTATTTATTGGGATGAATAGGGTTTAAACAGAAATATATATGATCTAAAATTTGGTTACAAAAATGTGTTATAATATGTGGACTACATAAATTTGCATTTAATGTATAATAAAAAAAAAAATACTTAGATTTGTATTGTTTTTAGTAGATGATGTCTCATATGACAACTTAAAATATGTAAAACCACTAAAAAAGTTTTAACTTAATTAATGTACTTTTTTTCATTTCTCAAACATTATATTATTAAAAAGTACCAGGTATTTTTAAAAATCCCCAAAACATCCACACCAAAATTGAGTTATTCAAAGGGAAAAACAAAATTTATATACATTGTTTCTCATCCATTGCCTTTTAATCAAAAGAGTTTTGTTCTCGGATTTGGAATGTTTATTTCTATTTATTTCTGGTGTTGAAAACTGACATATAATATTTTTTTTCATACAGTAATTTTATCTTGTTAAAAGGTGTTATTTATTTTGTTGTATACATGTATACGAAGTATAGTTATTATATTGCCACATTCCATGTAAATATACTAAGTTAAATTTTACTCATGAAATATATTTTATTTGCTATGCACACCGTCCCTTTATTTCAATCAGCTGTTCTTTTAAGTGTTTAATTGAATATCTTTGATTTTAAATGATTATCTAGGGAGATTTTATTTTCATAATTCTATCAAGAGTGCATTAAAAAAACAAATTGTTTGTGAGTAGAAATGTAGATCAGTTCCATTATTACAAGTCTACGTTGAGTGCAGCGTAGTTCTCAGGCATAGATGTACATGTAGACTTGTGGTCAAAATATATTTTATCAATTTCTTTTCAACTATAATGTGTAATTTATTCATGAGTAACTAGAAACTTTCCTGGTTATTTTGCAGAGAGTAAATTTAAAAACTTGCCAACCACTCCATCTCCTAAGACCAGTGTTGAATGTGAATATTTAATATGCAAAGGCAGGATCGTATGTATTTTCCCTTCACCATTACAGTATCTAATGAACCTTGTTTTCATTCCTTAAGTCAATCTGGATTTTATGTTAAATAATGAAAAATAATGAATCATAGATGCAAAATGTCTCATAATCAGCTCTCGATGTACCAGTTCCTGGTCACTGAAATCGAGTTTAAGTTAAAAGTGCTGCTACATCTCCCCTCAGTGTGCCTTTGCTCAGTCTTATGACAGCCTGAAAGAACATATTGAGCATTCAGTGACCTAAATGTGAATAAAAGTAACAAATGGAAATTTATACACAAAAAATACTCTTTTTCTCAAATATCCCTTAAGGGAGCCGACTGGGGTTTTATTGTGGAAAACTACTGTGAAAACTACAGAGAATCTTTCATTTTTTTTATCATATGTAGTTTGACTTCAGTGTACATGCCAATTTTATGGAAAATCTGCCGTCTAGGTATTTTAGCGTCCTTCTCAAAGTACAGGTACATTAAGTATAGGATTATATAGGAAAGTGCCAATTTTAAGCACTTCAAAGCAAATTATACAAATACTACTATCAACTTTTTTGCTCAGATTATAACATTTGATGAGATATCTATATTTTACAATAAATGTAACAAACATAAAATTCTATCGTCTTGTTTCTAGAGGGGGGATCTCAAAATGTCAAAATTAATGAAATTTCCTGTTTTATGGAGTACTACAAAATATGACAAATATAAAAGATTAATGTAAAAAAAATACAGAAATGATTGTAAGATTCTCAAATTTTTATGTTTTAAATTTCAAGGGCTTATATTTAATACTTTTTCTTTTATTACATTTATTATGACCCCTCTTAAAGGGCTTCAATTTATCATAACCCTATAACGATTTCAATCTACCTATCAGGTGAAAAATCGTTTTAAAATCAGTTATATAGAATTGTAAATTAATTTTTCAATCTGTGATTACAAGGTTTTGTTAAGTTTTATTACTTATGTGAGAATAGTTGCTTAAAACAATAAAATAATGGAAATACTTCAATTTACAATGATGCTCGAATAATTGCCCACAAATTGTTGATGCACACACACATACATATTTATATATATGTCATAGGTACTGCTTCATGCTTTGTATAGTGTATTATTCATTAAAACCCAAATATTGAACCATAACTAATGTACCGTTACATGCATATTTATACCTGTTTGAGATCCTCCCACTTTAAGTTGAAATCATCGATCTCATGTTCAAACTCTATCATCTGACTGATATAATTTCTATGAATTCTTATCCTCTCTACATCATCGCCATTTCGTTTGTGGCCAATGTTAGGTTCCTTACCCCATCCGTTGCTTGGGGGATCGACATTTTCTGCATAATTTCTCAACAAGTTGTACATTGTTGATATTTCTAACTGACAAGAATCAGCAGGATTTCCTCCTTCTGTAAGGAAAGAGATAGTCAATCTCACGGTTTTGGTTTATGTTAGAAAAGAAAACCAGAGGCCCATGGGCCACAACGCTCACCTGAGTATTATTGACCCTACTTTTCTTCAACAGATTTCCACCTTTTAATACTTTATATGGCCCCAACATACATGTACCTCCAGGGGTTATAATATGAAAAATTTAGAATTTACACAACCTAATAGAGCCTCCATATAATCTTCAGCTTTTCTGGCACAGTGGCTATTGGGAAAAGATTTATAAACATTTTTTCCTATATATTTCAATGTAAAACTATGATTCCCTATTGTGGTCCCACCCTATCCTTTTGGGGGCAATGGTGTGAACTATTAGAATTTACACTACCTCAGAAAGCCTCCATACAAGTTTCAGTTTTTTCTGGCCCAGTGGTTCTTGAGTAGATTTTTTAATGCATTCAACGTATTTTTGTCTTTTCTTGATTATCTCCCTTTGTAAAGGGCCTTGGTCTATTATTTTAATAAGTTCAATTCCATTCACCCAAGGAAGCTTTGTTTCAAAAGCCTAGTGGTTCTTGACAGGAAGTTGAAAATGTGAAAAGTTTACAGACGGACGTACGACGGACAACAGGTGATCAGAGGCTCACTTGAGCTTTCAGCTCAGGTGAGCTAAGAAAGTGAGCTAAAAGTTAGACAGCTATACCTCATTAACAAGGGAATTCTTAATTACCAACTCATGCTCTAATTATCAAAATATTAATTATCGTCGCGTAGGGGTATCTAGAGCGAATGCTCTAGAGTCGTGGAGTTTGGAGTTGATTCTTACGTCGGGTTCAAATCCCACTGTGGGACGTGGTGACCCGTCCTGTGGATGAAACCGCAATACGAGGTCTCGTGTTGCAATAGATGCTAGCTCAAAAAAGATCCCTCACTGCTCAATGACCTTGAGTGCCGAGTACCAGTATAAATGTGTAGCCCTCCACCGGCAAGTGGTGGCTTCTTCATATAAGTGAAACATTCTCGAGAGGGACATTAAACGACAAACAAGCAAACAAACAAGCAAATATTAATTATCAAGTGAAAGAGAATTAAATGATTGTCACTAAATAAAGGGGCAATATATGTACAGATTTTAAGATAAGCAAATTACTTATAAAATTCTAAATGTTCCTGGAAAAAACATGATGATGAGGAAAAAAGGGCCATATAATGACTCAGGTGAGCGTGGTTGCCCACTTTCCCTAACCTGGATAAAGGACAGGTATCTGATCTTTTTGTACTCTTTTTTCTCCGTTCACAATGAGGTATTTTTTGTCGGCCAACATGTTCTGCAGTTCATGTTCAGGGAAGATGTCATCGAAAAATATTTGAAGGGCATCTCGTGAAAGTCTTACCAGCTTTAGGAAGCGCATCAAACGCTTTTCAATATCTGAAAAAAATTACAAAAATGTAATTATTTGTGGAGACGATGCACTTTATGTAAAGAACTGCGAACGATAGTTTTGTTCTTCCGCCTACCTACAAGTCATTTTTCAAAATTTAACATATTTGAATGACTCTTCAAATGTATAGATATTTTTGTGAATTTTCATAAAAGATAACTTATTTGGAAAAGCAAAGAGCGATAACTCTATAATTTTGGCAAAATAAGCAAAAATCCGTTTAACAGGTATTACATGTAGTATTATGGAGTATTCTTTCACAAATTCGCACTAAAGATCTTCGTGTTACATCGGGGAGATATGTTTACAGAAAAAAACAAAAAACAAAAAACAAAAACAAAAACAAAACAAACAAAAAACAAAAAACAAAAAAAACAAAAACAAAAAAGCAAAAATGGACATTTTATACCCATTTCAAATGACATAACAAATTTTAGAAATGTATTTCATCCATCTTATACATTAAATTTGGCGTAATTTTGACATACAGAAAGATTTAAGGAACATTCATCTATTTCCATGCACATTTGAAAATTTAGTAATGTTTTAAAGCCTGGTTTCAACAAACAAAATTTTACAAAGCTTATAAAAAGAATTGTAAAAAAAACAATTAAATTTTTGACGCATCTTATGAGTTAATAAATCAATTGCCAAATCTTTGCATTCAAATAAGTTTTAATGGCCAAAATGCAAGTTATATTGAATTAGATGGGTCTAAGATGTAGGCGGGAATCGAGAGTAAGCGTTTGTAATTTTTACGTAAATATGTGTCAAGAATATAAGTATATACTTGATTTAAATGGATCATCTCCAGATTTCAAGTGAAAATGTTGGATAAACGGAAAATGACAGCAGATTTTTTTTTTCTAATTACACATGTAGCAGAAATAGAGAAAATGTTTGGCTTGACCGGGAATCAAACCTGGGACCCCTGCATCACTAGTCAGGTTCCGTTCCGACTGAGCTACCCAGGCTGATATCCACAGCCCAAACCATTACATCCCTCCTTCCTTAAATTGTTTTCGCCCTCGAAGACGCAACCCAAGTTCTTATTAGTCCCTGACAGGATTTTCACCTTCAAGTCCAGGGGTGGTCAATGGCGCCAAACCTGTAACAGGAAAGGAGGAAATGTTTGGCCTTTCATCAGAAACAGACGACAAATGTTCACTCTGGACTTGATGTCTCTGTTGTGATGCTACAGAGCTGGAATAAAGCGGTGGTTCCTCCCCAAACACTTTGATCAAGAATTGTATTAAACCAAGAAGGTCCGACTGGGGCTGAAAGATCGAAACAATTTTACACCAATCCATAGGATATATTAAGTAGTATCAGTAATATTGTATAAACGTAGTAAGACTAGAACAAAATCATTGTTAAAATCTAAGGAAATTCATTTACATTTCTTGTTTGTTGAATTTCTTGAGGTGTCTTAGTATGCATTGTATGAAGGTGTTTCTTTCCGTATTACGTAAGATTCTGAGCTATCCTTCGTTCTTTAATTTCTATCAATTTCGTTATTTGGCTGTTTACTGGGAATGCTGATTACTGTAGATCACTTTATTTTCGCGACACCTTCTTTTCGCGAGATACCTATTTGGAATTTATAAGCGAGACAAAATTTTTGCGAGCTAATGTTTTTGTATATAATCCTTACTAATACAAATATACGCAATCGAGAATGAAACTTCGTGAGCAGACAGACTGGCGTAAATACGCGAAAATAAAATTCTCGCAAATAAAAAGTGATTAACAGTAGTTGAAAATAAACAACATGTACATGACAACGGGTAACTAGGTTTTACGCAGGAGACTTGACTACCACCGTGCAATCAAACTGCTGTAGGCAGTGCTAGTAACTGCACTTCTCCACATCGTCTATTTTATAACCCATTACCAAGAAATCTATGGAGACGCCACCACTTCCCGGTGGAGGGCTGCAAATTTATACTTATATTTGGTACTCAGGACAATTGAGCATTGAGGGAACTTTTTCGTGCCAACACCTACATAATGCGACACGGGACCTTATACGGTCTCATCCGAAGGACCGGTCTCCACGTTCGGTAGTGGATTCGAACCCGCAACGTAAGGATCAGCTCCTTACTCAGCGACTCAAGAGAAGACGCTCTAACCACTGCGTCACGTATGCTTATACGTATTTCGTGTTTTTGTGCTTCTTAACTCCGCCCATCAACCAATCGTCTTTGAAAGGGTTGGTCAATAAACAAGGACATTGCTAAACGCCTATTGTAATGAAGAGCAAAAAGAAATACCTTTGTGAAATGCAGACCTTTTAGGAAATAAATAGAATTTTGAATATTTGAAGAAGGTTGTATATAATTGTAAGTATTATTTAGAGAACGAGACGGGTTTTCTATCGTAGATATAAATTGGGGTTGGGGGTGGACGAGTGAGTATAACGAGTCTCCGCCCCTATAAATGATAGAGCTAACATGTCGAGTTCTCTAAATGATTTGTGACACAATCAATCAAAATAAGCACCTCCCACTTATAGCTATGCAGCATCCACAGTTTATAGATTTCCACAGACAACGTACGATTCAGTTAGATAAGTTTTGATAACGGGGTAGACGTAATTGAAAAAAAAATGCATTTACTATTTGTATGTACTTTTAATAGATTGAATCAGAATTTTTTTAGACCGTGTTCTATTGTAGATACAGAATAGTTGGCCAACATGATAAAAATCTCTGACATCAAATTTCTTCAAAGAGCTATTTGTATTGCCTGTATTTATATCCAGATAAACTGAGATTATGAGACCCCTCACATATATCAGAATTAATCTCCATAACGTCATAAATCTACTAGAAGGTTAAATCGTCCACCTTATCCAATAAATAATCAAGTCAATTATGTCTACCCTGTTGTCAAAACTAGTCCTACTGAATCTTACGTTGTCCGTGGAAATATATATAATGAGGATGCTGCACAGCTAAAAGTGGGAGGTGCTTATTTTGATTGATCAAGTCATAAATCATTTAGAGAACTCGACAGGTTCTCTATCGCAGATACAAATTTAGGGGCGGAGACTCGTGCTACATGTATGCACTCGTCCAGCGCCCAAATTTGTACATGCATCTACGATAGAGAACCCGTCTCGTTTTCTAAATAATACTTATTCCTTACGTATCTCCAGTCCCTCAGATAGGGTATGTTAACATTCCCGTTTGAGTCCACATTTCTATTGGCTTTTATGTACATGTTATTGGATGGTTTTACATAAACCATTGGCGAGTTATAGGGATGTGTGTCCAGTATCCAAACTATGATTGGAATGTTGTATTCATTTCCTTAAAAAAAGTCGATTGAAATGCCTAAACTCACAGAACATGCAACAAATTGATGTCAATGATTTAAAATAATTGAAATTTTATATAAATATTTCAAAAATGCATGAATAAGATAGAAGGATAATACTACGAATTTAACAGAAAAAATTATTATTCTTTTCAAATTAAAAACAAAATGTCTATGATTGATACCCTCGTAATTTACTGGAATAGTGCCGTTTAAATTCAAAAGATTTTTCTTTGTACCGTCTCCAAAATCTGCATGAGGAAGAAAGATGTAAAATTACATATATAGTACTCATTAAAACAAAACAAGCAACATATAGGAGAAAACATTACGAAAATATAACTCTAACATGTGATCGGTTTTCTCTCTCTCTCCCTCTCTCTCTCTCTCTCTCTCTCTCTCTCTCTCTCTCTCTCTCTGTGTGTTTCTCTCTTTTTCTCTCATTCTCTGCCTGTCGGTCTCTTTCTTTCTCTGTTCTCTCTCTCTCTCTCTCTTTCTGTACATCTCTTTCTCTCTCAGTCTGTCTCTCTGTCTCTTTCGTTCTTCCCCCTCTTTGTCTCTGTCTCTGTCTGTCTCCCTCTCTCGCTCCGTGTTACTTACAAAATCTCTCAAGTTCAGGCCTTAGGTCTTTAAATTGACTTATAGCGTTCATGATATCCCTTTTGGCAATGTCTGCATACTTGTACTAAAGAATCAGTAAAGAATGCAATGTGAAAGGGATTTCTTTGTATCAAGCTACAAAAGTTATAACTTTATTAGTTTTGAACTTTATATCTAATCCAGAACTTGAACTGTTTTCCTCAAAAGAGGTAAAATAGAATTACATATGAAATATATGTTACCAAAATACTAACATAACAAACAGTGAAACTCTGCCAAGATATCATAAAAACAATTACATGTATGCACGTTATCGATATTTGATTTTTGAATTTCATCTATAAAAATTGTCCCTAAGGTCAAAAATTTTATTTCATAAGGTTGGTGAAAGCGAAGGGGTGAAGGTTTCAACTTTCTTTCACAACGTTTTTTGACATTACAGAATCACGATGATTTAACTATGCTACGGCAAAAAGTGAGGGAACCATCCTTTCATAGACTATTTTCAATATTGTAATGTTTGTTTTGGAAAAAAGTGGGTTGGGGCACCCTCCGTGGCCCCCTTCCCCCGATACTACATGCCTGAGATAATAGCGTATAGTTAAAATGCAATTATATTGAAGTTTCAGTAGTTTAGAAGAAATGCTTTTGCATTCGTTGTAACTAAACCAATATTTATCTATCATAAAAATTTAATACATCAGTTAATAAAAACTGCCAAACGACTTGACTTTTTTGTATGTAAAAAAAAAAATTATAAATGCTTCATGCGGGGACCGAACCAAAAACCTTGCGATTCCTGTGTTTTGGACTGTTTACATACTTTTGCTTTCTTTTTTCGGACTGGTAACATAAACTTCTATGCTTTTCTTCGTGACCCTTCTTTTTAAGACGACAGCGAAGCAACACTTTTATACAAAACGGGATGGGGGTATTTTTCCAAGTTAATTTTTATGGTCTCTAAGACTTTTCACCATTTCTTCTTAACAAATGTTTGTTCATTTCTTTGCAAATATATCATTGGGTTTCAAATGACATTATGACATTTAGGCATATTCAAAGTAATTAAAACACAATATGGATATCATCGTGGAAATATTACCCATTCCTAATAATTTAACTTCGTTTGTGACACGTCATTTGATTGGATAAAAAATTAATTTATATCATATAACTTGTGTTACCTACGTCACAAGGACTTGCGTCAAAAACCTATTAATCCGCTTGACGTTACATTTGAGATATACATGTACATAGTTCGAAGACATTTCTGAAGGAGAAATTGTCTAATTTTCTAATTTAATGATGGGAAATTTAATTATAAGGAGTGAATTTGATTAGCTACCCAAGTTTTACTGATATAACCTGGGTGGGAACAGTTTACACTTTTTTTTATAAACCGCTTCACGGTTTATAAAGCGTAAGCTGTCTCAACCCAGGTTTAAGATTATAACTTGGGTAGCTATTAAATTACATAGGAATCCGATACTGACATTTATCAAAAGAATGTTAAAATTCTATGCGACGGATCAATAAATCGTACTTTTCAAAGGCGCACAGGTTCCTGCCGAATGCCAATAAAAACCTCCTTGTTCTTTATATTCATTACTTAACTGACTTTTAAGTGGAGATTTGAAATGTTTGATATTTTACCTGACTTAACGCTTGCTTTGTTTCGTCGGTTACAGAGCTCCCAGCCATTCCCTTCTTGTTATTCTAAATTGGTTTTATTTCTTAACATGAAACTATTCAGAAAAGACACTGTTGAACTTTAGGTTTTGATTGAGATCCTACTATTTACGACCAGGAAGATCTATTTTTCATTTGTACGACAATAGAAGTTTGACGGAGTATTATTGTTATCTTCTAACTCGTACCTTTAAACGTGTGTTTTAATTGCATATATTTTTGTCTTTCGGTGAGTCTTGCATCTATATATTTGGTCTGTGTGCCATATTTACAGGAGGCATTTAAAATCTTTTAAAACTTTAAATTAGTACACAGGTGTTATATTCCGATAACCTCTGTCTTCCTAAAGGCATTGGGAAAGAACTTTTAGAAATGTTTTACAGTTACTTTTGTCTGTGAAACAATCAGTCTGCAAAATTTATACTGGAATGGGACATTCAGAATCTAATTAGTTGCTTTTTGAAGAGAAGTATTCACATTGCTGAATTTTTTTTTTTAAAAATATACATGTATATTTATTTTTTGATGCCTTGTTCAAAGTATCATTATTATGATAATTAATTACAATCATTGAATTTGACAAATCTGTGGTCAGTAATACAAAACATATCTTTTGATAACATATATGCTTTAAGGATAAAAACACAAACTTTTCAAAAGTCAGCAATATTTCTCATAGATTTATTTTCAGATAAGTAACCTGAATAATGTTTATCAGTAAAAATGGGAGAACTTTGTAAGATTTCGTTGCAATGTTAAAAATATATGAAAAATTATGTATAGAATCTCCATAGAAAACTAAACAAAGTGCATATTTAAACTCCAAAGAAACCTTACCATTTCTTTATATTTTAGGTATTTACTATTTATGCCATTTCTTAGCAAAATCAGTCAAGAAATTTAATCTTGTTTGTATTACCTAACCTTAAATTAGCACAAGGCAAAGGCAAGAAATAAAGAAAAATGAGTTTATTGCTAGTAAACCAATAAATATCTTTCTTTTGGATATTATTGTAAACCTTTGGACAAATTACTTAAGATGACTGATTTTTTTTTTTTTTGCTCTTTTTTTTTAAAGAATAAAGTTTTTGTAATGGAAATATATGTTAGATTCAAGAGGGTGAATTACTCTTAGTTCAATGAACAATAGTCCATAGTTATATTATTTTGTTATGTGAGGCACAAATTGACCATATCGTTATTAAAACTATGATGAAATATTTTTTTTTTTAGACGAAGCAGATTTACATATTAAGGAAGTATACTCATTAATAAGAAATCAGTAATCTTCACAGGTCCAAATACATCTTTGATTTCTAGAGCATGTGAGATGTATTGAACACTTTATTTTGCATGCTGGATGTGTTTAACACAATCGTGGGAATGAAAATCCAATCTTTACAAAGAATTAAGAATAATGCAATCATTCAGTAGAATACATTGTGCTGAACATAATCTTCATAAATTTCCCGTGATAAGACACTCTTAAGAATGGATAAGATTTCCTTTATATTTCTTTTAGGATGAGGTGTTCGGTTCAAATGTAATTTTAATTTGCTTCTTTCATAGGTCCTGGCATGTAGTATCGGGGTGAAGTGGGGTGGTGGGTTGCTACCCCTTTTTTCCAAGCATTACCTTTCACTATTGAGAATGTTCAATGAAAGACTGGTTTCCCTCACCCTGCTTTTTGTTGCATTAAAGTCAAAACAAGATACGTTTGTAATGTATGAATGAATTTCGGTAATGGAAAAAGCTTTATAATTATAATTACAAGACGACAATTTACAAATCAATGTAGAATTGCTAAATTGTCATTACGTACTAAGTTAGATGTAAGAAATCTCGAAATATAAGATTACTCTGTCTATTTGTCTGTTGGTATATGAAATAATTATTTCTTTTCGTTGACAAAGAGAGCTAGGCCACATTATCATTTTTTACACAATGAATTGATTATCAAAATGTAATGCAATTTCAGCATACAAAAAATTGCCTTTTAACGTAAAAAATTTTAATTTTATGAAGTAGACGAAAAAAAAGTCTTAGTTATATGATCAGATAAAAGGAATTTTCCATAGACAATCTTAGCATAAGAACTAGAGTGTTCCATGGCATAAATAAAAGTAAAAGTATGGCCATCTATTTTTCATGCAAATATTATATTAGCGTTATAGTTAAAACCAAGGATGGTTAGACAGCAATAAATAACGTTTATCATAAAAGTACAATTAAAAATCAAAATGAATTCAACTAAAAAGTCAATATACTGATCCTGAGCTGATGAAACAATCTGCCAAGTCGAAAAAAATAGGAAAAAAAATAATGTTGCAGCTGTTGCAGAAAAGGGGTTTATGAAATTTTTCTCTGCAATAGCTGCAATATTTATTCCCGTACTAACAACCAAGAAAGCATTTTATGGTTTATATCTGTACAAATAATCATTTAAAGAGGGATTTAGGAGATGAAATAGTGTATTATTCATAAGTACGCCATTGTACGTTTCATTGATGGAACAGCCACTGCTCACAGGTGAAATGTTTATTGCCGTTTACTGACTGATAAAACGCAATGGTTTTCTTAAGAAATAAAACAAAACAATGTTCAGTGGATGTAAATATAGCAGAATATTACTACAAAAATAAGGAATAACTGATGATGGAAAACCTGAAGACGTATGGTTTTTCATACAATCAAGAGGTTAGTTGGCTCTATCGTTCATAGTCAGTAAAATATTCAAATATAAACAGATATTTACGCAGTGAGAGTTGTAGCTCTTATCTAAGGGTCGATGATCTTTAAGATTTTTTTTTACGTAAAATCGATTAAAATAGCTTCAAATCATATCACATAAAAGGATTATTTTGGATGGGTTTTGAACACTACAAATATATCAATCAATAATTGTGCTGTTCAGAGAATAGGAAGAGGTTTAATTGTTCGGAATATCATTATTCTATTGGAACAAAAAGTAAATTTGAAATAATTTTTTTTACTAAGATCAATAGCATCAAACTGTCGAATTTCAACATTTTATATCCGCATTCTCAACCATGTATTAAAGATAAAATAAAACAACTGCTTTTTAAATAAAAAAGAAATTCCTAAATTTACTTACCTTGTCATTGGTCAACTGCAAAATTATTTTGTTACAAAAAAGGGAAAGAAAGACTCTACACAGTTTACGGAGACCTGGTCCCAGGATCATGAAACAGACTTAGACTTAAGTCAAATTTTTAATCACCTGTAAAATGTTTATTAATTGTTGAATGAATCTCTAAATTTTGAGATAACAACACTTTTGTGAAGCAATATTGACAAATAATTTAATTTTTATCTGCTTGACTTAATCAAAATTTTAATACGACATGAATATTTTGACTTAAGCTTAAGATGTTTCATGATCCCGGAGCCAGGTCCTGTCACAGTTCGTTGGAATTTAAATGGATACGAAGTGTGATTCGTTATAAGCAGACCTCCTTTTGTATTTATATAAAGAAATACAAGTTGTTCGGAAAGTTCGAGGACTGATGCGATAAAATCAATACTATGAAGTTTATGACTACAAAATTTTTATGGAACATAAAACAACAAAAGTTAAAGAAATGTTGAAAATTTTAGCTAGATACTTTGAATATTTAAAAAAATTATCATAAAATAAAAAAGACATTATAGATATGATCATCCGGCGCTGTCGCCATTTAATTTCATGACGTCATTGTTTCTCAATGTCTATATTCTCTACCTCATACACTTATCATGATGAGCTTCCTTGGAGTTAAGTAATGATTCAAACCCGTCTTGTTTATATGCTTTTACAATGTCATGAACAGCTGCTTTCAATGTATACAATATTGTAAGATCTGAAAGATCCTCACTTGATTATATCAGCATATTTGCTTGTCGGAGTTCAACATCTACCACACATGACCAACGTCACTTTTCGACGTGACAAACTTTGAACACCCTATCTACAAATCAACATTAACTTTTACATCTCTCGTCTTTATAATCTTTTTCGGTATTTGAAAACAAGTACCCCGAATGCATTTTATTTTCCAGTAGCCCATTTAAATATTTTCTAGGTCTATGCTAGTTTTTCCAGGCGTAAAACTTTATAGAATGTTGGGAGAAGAAACCCAGCCCCCTTTCTGACGTCATTACAACCCCTTAATTGTTTGACATTTCAAGTAAAATTTACGATAAAATTTAATAGAACTTACAGAATTGGGTAAAATTGCAAATTTACGGTACAATTATGTCAATTATGTCATACCACATGAGTGAATTAACGGCATTTTCGTAGACAAATGCTCATATCAAAAAAAGAGGGTTTTTTTCTCAGTTACACTTAGGTAGAAAAAACGTAACCCTCGGGGTTGCGCCGCCTCGACATAACATTGCTTTCACATAAACATGAACAATTCATTAAATATATATAATTAATGACGCATAGTTTATTATATAACTAAAAAAGATGATGCTAATTAAACGTTAAAAAATTCATTGATGTGTCTTAAGCGGTTTTAATTTTATGGCGCTAGTCCAAGAACTTTCCGAGCAACCCTCGTATTTATTCTCAAACTTTAAAAAAAGATGAAAAGGAGTCTTTCTGTGGAGTTCATTTTAACGTCAGGTAATAGATTCATACATGTATCGATGTCCTTTTAATAATCCACAATATTTAGTTTCATTCCTAAGTTGATTCGATATATCAAATTAAATCCAAAATGAACGAAACCACAGATTCTTAAACATTTGTCTCATATTTTGATGTGTTGATAAAAAAAATAACAATGATGACAAACTGAAAGTAAAGCTTACAAACAAACATGATGATTTTAACTTTTCAATATCTTTTTTTTCTTGTTTATGTAACATATATAATTAAATCAAAGTTAAATCAATTTTTAATGTTTCAATCAAATTAAACCGGCCACGGTAGCTAATGATTGGGCGTTCGCTTCATGGTCAGGAGACCCGATTTCGATTCTCATTCCCAAAGCAGTGTCAAACCTAAGAGGTAAAGA